CCAGTACAGGTGGTGAAAGGCTACCTGGTGTAAACATACTTTTTCCATGTCCCAGTCGGGGCTGAAGGAGAGGGAGGACCATCCCCTTTACCTCTCAGGTCTGGGATCTCCACTACAACTGCCTTCCAACACACTCCTCACTGACAGTGCTTCCCTTTGCCTGCTCACCAAACAGTTCCCCAATTCAACATCAAGCTGTTCCCCAAGGAGGCCAGGACCTGGTTGTCAGCTATTTCACAGGCATCAGAGCATGAGCCCTGCAGAGGACCTGGATACCCAACAGCTGTCAGATCACAAGCTCTGCAGTCACTTGCCAGCCCCCAAACCATCAGGGCTTGCCCCAGTCCTTGCAAAATTCTTTCACATGCTTTTTAGGTTGCCATAAGGAGGGCCAAGGGGAGAGCTTTTGAGCCACATCTGGTGTAGGAGAGCAAATGTGTTTGTGCCCCTTTCTGAGGAGGGGGGTGGTTGCTGCATCTCCATCATGTCTAACTGTATTTTCTTGTCTGTCCTGCCACAGGCTGGTGGATGGAGAATTATCTACTCTCTGGCAGAAAAGTGCTGTGCTAATGCTGAGAGAGCTCACAGACAATAGGAGCTGTAGGCTGCTGATTTCCAATCTTTTTCATTTCTTTCTTCTCCCCCTTTTTCATTCTACTCCCACTTGGTCCCCTACAACCCTCTTCATGCTGAGGAAGGTGGTTGAGAAAACTTCTCTGAGCTATGCGTCAGTGAAAGTTTAGCTATTGGGCGTAAAACTGTATCAAAAATAAATACAAACATCAGTCTTGACTGAAAATGTGGTCATATCACTGACTGACTTCAGCTCTGTAGCAAATCCCAGTGTATCTGGTCCCAGAGTCAGGTTTTGAGCATGAGCTGAGGGTTAGAATGGAGTTAGTGGGATTGGGTGTGCAAGTGAACGGTGACAGACAGGAGCTGGGCATTGACTCCCAAAAGGTGAGTGTCATGGTTTTCTAGCTACTAGGAAGAAAATTAACTTTACCCCCACCAAAACCAGCAGAGTGAGACACAGCTGAGGACTGCAGTCAGCACCAGCAGCCCATCCCGGTTCTATAGGTTGTACTTGAGTGCTCTCTAGTGGACAGAAAAGCAAGTCCAGAGGTGAACACAGCTGATGAGGCTCCCTCTGAGCTTCCGTCACCCTCACCTGGGTGTCAGGCATTGGGTCTGTAATATCCGCACACCACGGGCCTGTGCTGAGTGTCTGGTGCAGGGTTTGGGAGGGCAGTTCAAAGCTGAGTCTTCCTGATCCGTGAGGCTGCAGGGCAGAGGTTTGATGCAGGAGCAGTGCAGGGTGGCAAAGGATACACACCTTGTCTGGTAAGAGCTGACTCAAAGGTAACATCCCAGTCCCTTCCCATTTATGCAGCTTTCCAGTGCTTCTCCTTGTGCTGAAGGAAACACCTGAAGGACCTGTTCCTACATGTGCAGTCAGTGGGTAGAAGAGCACAGAGGTACTGTGGAAGGACAGCAGAAACACTGGTCATGGGATTTTATAAGGAAGTGAAGGAAAATTATATCAACTCATTTACCAGCCACTGATGAGCCTCCAGGAGTCCTCAGCTCTGAGAGCCCTGCTAGTGCTGAACATAAACACTCTGAGGGAAAACAGCTCTTGTTTCATAGCACAAAGTGATAACCCACTGGATATAGCGGAAGCAAACTACTTCAGTGTGACAAGAAGGTTATTATGGAAGTCAGCTCAGGGGACAGACCATAAAGTGGTTATGTAGTGGGTGCTCCCAGATAAGCAGAACTATACTACTGAACCCAAATGTTCAAAAGGTGCTCGAAAATCATGAGATCTGAGTTTTGAATTCTGAGACTAACTCATCGCATTTTCCTTTTATTTCTGTGAAGTGACAGCTAAAAGATTTTTATGATGGTCATATTAAAACCAGAAACAGCCACTTGACTCATGAAATAGTTACGCCAGCTACAGAGGTTATATGCATCTCTCCTTAAACTCTTTAAAGTCTGACTTCTCCATTACCTCTGTGTTGTGGGAGCTATTATCTTAAGTTGCCAGGATGTCAGAGACTGAAATGGTTAATGATTTATGCATTCTAGAGTTGCCAAGGGACTTTTGAGGCTTCTGCAGGACTTCTGCATTATACCTCTGATGGCCCATCAAAGCCCATCCCCCCCTCTGCCAATCTTGAAAGGCGGGAACCAGGCCAGACACAGAAACTCTGCACAGGCCCAGGGAGAGGTTGGAGGCTCGAGGTACGGCCCGTGACAATAACCATGGGTATAATAACTCATAACTTCTTGGAGTGTGGGGGCTTCCCTCCTTCACCCCCAGCAGATCAAGGCCACCACTTCAACTGACAGACATGGAAGCGGCAACTACCAAGTGTCATCGCTGGACCCTGTGGGCAGTGACTATAGACATCTTTCCACTCTCATCTTTTCTCTCTCTTACTCTCCCTTACCCTTATCCTGTCTTTCCTTTCTCTCCCTTATGAATTTCCCCCCCAGAGGTTATCCCTATGCCATATTGCTATAGATGATATAGATGATAACACCCAAAATGCTAACATACCTGTTGAAACAAAATTATTAAAATGAACCCTACCTATATATGTTTAAAATAAACCCTACCTATATATGTTTTCAAACACCGATTATTCAGTGTCGTTTCACTCTAATCCACCCCAAGGGAATTATTGATAAGAACCTGGGTTACCCCCCTCCCCTTTTTCTGGGGTGGGTCATAACACAGGATGACACCGCCTTTCATCAAGAGCTCCTCTTATATGGACACTTCCCAATGCTCAGACATCCTGAACACAAATAAAACTCCTTCAACCTTTTATTAAGCTTAATTACTTGTCTCCTATTCATGCTTTCCCTTTACTTTCTAGAGGCCTTTGACTGAAATCCGACTGCCTCCTTTTCTTTGAGCATCTTCTTTCACTTGGAGCAGTCATCTTTGACCTCATCTAGTCAGAAACCACTGAGGTTCTACCACAGTACCACACATACCTGCAGCAAAAGAACATGGGTTTGTATGTGGGCAGTTATTCCGTGCAAATTCATTAACAGTTTTGTTACAGAGATGCTGCAGCTATGCATGTTAGGCTGCTGAATACTGACTGCACAAGTATGTTGATTCAGTTTTTTGAGGGTCCAGAAAGAAAGGGAGTGGGGAGGAGGGGGGAGAAAAAAAAAGGAAAACTAATTAATAAAAATAAATGAAGCAACCTACCAAACCAGTCAGCACTGGAGAGTTAAGAGGAAGGAAAAAAGCAAAAAAATCCCAAAGAAAATAGCCCTGAGATTCACTCTTCACAGTCACCATGATGAGAGACCCTGCCCTAACCTCACAGGAAAGTCAGCTGATTATTTCCACAACCTCAGAGTTTAGCACCACTGAGGCATTTGTTTTATTCATTTATTACGATGAAACGGGCTGTGGAGTTATAAAAATCCCATATAGGATAAGACTTCTTAGGAAATCAGATAAACAGGCAGCCCTTGGACTTCTTCATGAGTATAGTGATATAGTGCACACAACCTCTCCAGGACAAAGAGGGGCAGCATACAGGGGCCAGGCAAACACTTCTGTTTAGGGAGAAAAGCCTCAAGTTTTGAAGCATCTTCACAGGCACTTGGCAATATTTGGAAGGACAGTGCTCAGTGAGTATGACAAGCCTCAGTGGGAGCTCATGGCTCAGGTCCTGCTCTATTTTTGCTGTCTCAGGCAGCTAACTGCCAGCTACTTACTCCTTGTTACTATCTGAATAAATTGGATTATCCAGGAAGCCAAATGGGGATAAAAATGCCATTAGAGAAGCAATTAATTTAGACATAAAACTATTCATGATATACCAGTCCTTCCAGGAGCTCCAGCCCAGAGCTGTTTAACCCATCAGAGGCCACATGAGAACAATTCACTATCCAAAAACACTTTCTGGTGGCCTGTAGCACTTTTGGCAACCAGGACTCCTGTGCCAGAAAGGCTGCAGCTGGGGGATGATGTTTACACTCTGCTTAACAAAAGGTTTTTAGTGGCAGGGAGAGAAAACAACTGGGATTTTGAAAAGAAGCTTGCCTATGAAGTCTCCCCTTTTTGTTTTGAGTTCCATGCTCCAGATTTCTTGTTTCACGACAAGCATCAAAAAAGACTGTTCTATGTATGCCACTTTGGACCTCTCTTTATTTTTACAGATTTCCATCCCATCCTAAACTCCTCTAGCTGTTCCTTTCAGGGGTGAAAAGTCCTAATCCACTCACTCGGTCTTCTTTCAGATGCTGCTCCTCTCTGGGGACACCCCTGGACCATGTTGCATACCCACTGGTGTGCAGACCTCGTTTGACTGCATTGATGCAGTCTCAGAGTCTGGTTTCTGTTGCTTTTCTAATAATCCCTTGCATATTAGTGGGAATCTTCTGTCCAGAGAAGGCAACGGAGCTGGTGAAGGGTCTGGAACACAGTGTGATGAGGAGCAGCTCAGGGAGCTGGAGGTGTTTAGACCAGAGGAGGCTCAGGGGGGACCTTATCGACGTTTGCAGGTCGGTCGCTTGTCCCAAGTGAAAGGAGAGGAAATGGCCTCGGGTTGCACCAAGGGAGGTTTAGATTGAGTATTAAAAAAAATTTATTCACTGAAAGGGTGGTCAGGCATTGGAACAGGCTGCCCGGGCAAGTGGTTCAATTGCTGTCCCTGAGGTGCTCAAAAAACCCGTGGATGTGGCACCTGGGGATACCGTGTAGTGGTGAGCATGGTGGCTGGGTTAAGGGTTGAATTCGATGATCTTAGAGGTCCGTTCCAACCATAACGACTCTATAACTCATAACTGCAGAAAACAGCCCCCGGTGCGAAGCTTCCCCCCCCCCCCCCCGCTGCTTCCCTGCAGAATCCCTGGGCACCAGTGCAGAGAAAGCGCTGGGATAACCGAGAGCCCGGAAACCTGCAAACCAACCGGGTCTGCCCAGACTGGCCGCGGGTGCCGTGAGGGGCAGCAGCGGGACCAGCTGCTTCTTTCTTCCTTCCCAAAATAAATTTCGGAGCACACAGCCGAGGTGTGTGGCCGTGTCCTGCTCCCGGCTGGCGCTGCCTCGGGATGGGGCTGGGTAAGGCCAGGGCTCTGGAGCAGTGTCGTGCCCATTGTTTTAAGGCAGAGACGCGCGCGAGCTGTTTCCAGTGAGGAGGAGGAGGAAGAGGAGAGCGCGGAGATGCACCGAAGCTCGGGGGATGTTTTGGTCCCGTGGGGAAGAGGATGAGTTAGTGGGGTTTCCGTGGAAAACTTTCCGCCCGTCGGTGTAGTCGTGGCCGAGTGGTTAAGGCGATGGACTAGAAATCCATTGGGGTCTCCCCGCGCAGGTTCGAATCCTGCCGACTACGGACTGAGGCCGCTACTTTTTTCTCCGCGTTCCGGACATTTTCCTCCCTCCCCCCGCTCCATTTGCACCGGAGCCGCCGCCGCCGCCCGATATCCGGCAGGACCAGCCCCGGGAAGGGAGGCGGGACCTCCTCCCGCGGCCATGGAACAGCGCGGCCCGGCACCCGCCGTGCTGGTCACCACCAGGTACCGGGGACACCGGGCCCGCCACCCGGATCGGCCCCGGCGGGGCTGGGGATGCCCCTGGCGACGCTGGGGATGCCCCTCCCGGGCCAGCTGCGCTGGTGGCGGGAGCCGTCCCGGGAAAGCGAAGGGAGGGAGGGAAGGAAGGGAAGGAGCGCGGGGTGGCGGAGCTGAGGGGAAGCCGGGTGGCTGCTGCGTGGGTTTGCCCCGGGACATTTGGGATACGTGGGGATCCTCGAGTTTTCTGGCGTTTCACAGCCGGGAGAGATCCCTCCCTGGCCCTTTCCTCCTGTGATAACTTGGGGTCGCTTCCCTTCCACGCTGACGCAGCCTGTGCTCCCGCCCTGCGGAAACGCCTTTTCCTTGTCGCGATTCTGAGGTGGGTCAGAAGGAATTAGAATTTATCCCGAAGTTTTGGCTTCATCAGTGGTTTGGCTGATGTCCATTCCCCGCTGCCATGCCCTGTATCCCGATCCCCGTGCCCACCGGGAGCCCCTCTGGCTGGAAGCCCAGTGATGGGCTAAATGGATTTTTTCTCTTTTCCCACCTTGTTGTAAACCTGCCCCAGGTGGGTGCAGAGGCGCTGTTTTCCGTTGCATTAAACTTTTAAAACCTGGGTTTTCCTAGATGTGATAAAGGAACCCTCGCGACAAATGCCTCAAGAAGAAAATGCTTCTGGCAATCTTTATAAAAAAATGATAGAGATCTCTCTTTTTTTTTTTCTTTTATCCCCACAAAATATTTGAAACCACATGAAAGTGGTTTCCTGTCAGAAAAGTCATGAGAAGAAGTGTTGATTCAGCAAAGTCCTTATCTCCTAGGACATAAATAACAGTTATTTCAGTCTCATTAACTTCAAAGCTGTTATATTAATCCCTTAATATCTGGCTTCCTTTGGAGCAGTGGCCTTGAACCTTCAAATGTATCTGACTTGACTGATATTTTGTAGGACTGACTTGATATTAGGTTTAGCCTTGGAAATGGAAATTGAACACCTGGACTTGTTTTACAGTCTGTAAACTGTAAAAGACACACTTGCAAATTGTCCCATTGATACTGGAATGCTTTCAGTGATAAAATGAGATATATATGTATGTGTGGGATTAAGACTTTAGCAAATAAACATATTTTTTATCTTGTGAGGTAAAATAGCTCTACAGTTTTGACCTTTTCCACTCTTTATACATACTGGTTTTGAGAATGGGACTCCTAGTTGCTGTGGTAATAAAAATCATAGAATCTTAGAATATGCTGAGTTGGAAGAGATCCATCAGGATCATTGAATCCAACTCCTGGCTCTGTGCAGGACACCTCAAGAGTCACACCATGTGCCTGAAAATGTCCAAACACTTTTTGAACTCAGACAGGCTTGGTGACCGCTGCCCTGGGGAGCCTGTAATCTGTATACTTGTACTTAGACTATACAGAGGAATAAAATGTTTGGGGGTAATTTGTGTCAGATATTTTGCCTTCAATTAATGAATAGACTAGCTGTACAAGTTTTTTTCCTTTTGTTATGACCTGGAACACCATGTTTTGGCCCCCTTAAGGCAGAGGTTGTTGGAGCTGGGTGTTGCTGGCAAGGCTGACTGTATCGAGGCAGGATAGGGCTGACTGTATCGAGGCAGAGTCCTCTCTCCTGGGTGCACAGACGTTGGAATAAAGTTTCTCTGGTCTTAGCACTTTATCTTTTACTTTGCTTTCTTGCCTGCAGTGGGTATTCCCCACTCCCCATCTTAGCCTTTCAGCACAGAAAGGAGATTAATTAAAGTACAATTTAATTATTACATGCAAATCAAAAGACAGGAATGAAAAACTGTCTCTTCCATGAGCTGTGGAAGCTGCTCTGTTCAGCTGACCCTTACATAAGTTCCACTTCCTCTGTCCCTTGCCAGCCCCTCATGATCTGATTGTGCAAGCACAGTGTTACTGGTATGAATGGTCTCCTTGTTTTCAGGTGAAGTGATTTCGTCTTAGGAAGGTTAGCCATGTGCCCAGGTCTCCCCTGAACCATCGGTATTGTAGACAAAAGTGTAACTTGGGGATAAACAAGCTAGATTTAAATAAGGAGTAGAAGCAATAAACCTGTGTGTCCAATTTAAACAACCAGCTTTCTCCTTTTGTTGCTTTTTTTTTAAAGGAACAAGTGTAAGAATAATTGTGTTTGATGTGAAAAATGCAATGAAACTATGTTCTGTCTTGGGATTTGCAGGTGCTGCTTCTGTTTGAACAATAATAGCAGTATTTAATGAATTAAAACACTGAGGCTGCTTATTTTGAAATGAAGGCATTACAAAAAACAGTGAGCACTGGAGAGTACACTCTGTCTGTCACAGCCTCCCTGTTGATTTCTGTTTGTTTAGAATCATTTTTATATTTAAAAACAATCCTGTTGCTGTTGAAGAGGTAATAGGGGTGGGTTTCCTGTAAGAGATGGTAATGAAAGTGATCACAAGGCCTAAAGCAAACAAACAAAAATGTAGCTATTGCCCCTCCCTCTAATTGCTTCCCATTACAGTCACTTTATGTCAGACTTTTAACAACTTTAAAAGAAAACCCCCCGGGGTATAGATAAAGTACTTATTAGGTTCCTGACATTTTTAGGGCTCTCTGAGGCAACACCTCTTAAGGTGAAGTTGTTGTGTCATCTCGGAATATCTGTATGTTTTCAGCTGAGTGGGAACCACTCAGGGAGGATGGTTCACTGCTGGTTATTTGTTTTATTTACATCAGGAGAAAAGCAGGTTAATTTGCTATTTATACTCTGTGTTAACAGAAGTAGAATCATAGTCATTTAGTGTGGAAAAGACCTTTAAGATCATCAAGTCCATCCATTAACCCAGCACTGCCTCGTCCACTACTAAACCATGTCCCTAAGTGCCACATCTACATGACCTTTAAATATCTCCAGGACTGGTGACTCAAGCTCTTCCCTATGTTATTCCTGAGTACCAGCCGACAAACCCTTTTGCTGCCTAAGCTGCAGGCACAACTTCTGAGTGACTACACATCTGGAGAGCATTTCCTCTGCTGCAGGTCTATTCTAAAAAACTCCATATCCAGCTGATTTTACTGGCAGGTGCCCTTTGAGTCAGCATTTTGGCAGAAAATGAGAACAGAATCAGAGCAGACAGAATAGCATTGAGGTAAATACTATAAAATGTTGGCGATGGTAGAGCTGTTGTTAAAGTCCTAATGTTTTAAACATGTCTTGCAGAGAGGATTGGGTACAAAATTTGGGACTGTACCTTTGTTGGTTGTTGTCCTATTTATCAAGAACTCTCAAGATACTCTCTTTAAAGTGCTTTTTATTAAGGTTTTGCATTGGAGATTCAGAGGTTGTCTTCTTGGGAAAGCTCAAGTTTCAAAAGAACTGGTCAAGTTTTAACATGATGAGAGGAGTTTTTTTGAAACTTTGTTTGAAACTAGATTGTTTAAACCTCTTGAAACTATATTTTAAGCATTGTGCATCCTTAGGTGAAAGGTGCCTGTGTTAAGGAATCTAAACTTGCTAAAGAAAGAAGTAAATTCCATAAGACACCTCTGCAATCAACAGAAGTCCATGGAAGATGGGACTTGATATTCCCCATATAGTTAAGGTTAAAAAAGGCAGAAAAAATGTTTAATGATTCTAGTTTGTTTGTTTTTTTTAAATGATCCCTTCTGATTTCACTAAAAAGCATTCACACATGGGAAGCACTGTTTTGTGCCCCAACAGCAACTGCTTGGTCTTACTCCTGATGAGTGAGAAATATAATACAGTTCTGGCATTCCTCTTACAAAAATACCATAAATAATTCCTCAGATGGGAATCTAGGGAAAGGTGACACCCTGGTTCCGTGGGTCTGAAGCTGGCAGGAGAAGAAAATGCATTGAGTAAACTGCTGCAGCAGCTCCCCTGTTGCATTTTCCTCCCAAAAGGAGACGTTCTAACTTTCTGGGTGGTTCTGACCTTTGGCAACATTCAGAGGTTAATGCTGTGATTGTCTATTTAACTGGGTATGAAAGGACAGGTAGTTTTGTTTCCAGTAAGATTTTCTGTGGGAAAGCTGAGATGTTTTAGCTGGTGCACCCTTAGGTGTTTGGCAACAAGACTATGTCAGGCAGTCAAAACCAGAAGGCAGCTTCAAGGGATCATGTCCTCCTTTAACTTGCTCAGTCCTGATAGATGTTTGTCTAATTTTCCTCAATGACCTTCACAGATGGAAACTATGGTTGGCCCATCAGTCTGCTCCAGCAGCTTCCTTTGTGTTCCAGGCTTTTATCTAGTTCCCTTGTTGCCTCTTAAACAAACCTCATGTTGTTCCTGTGCTCCAGCAAGCTCCTTCTTCCTTTTGTGGCCCCTTTTAGCTTATTGTTGCTGCCATTCCTGGGAATGTCCTTAGACAGAGGAGAGTTGGATAGGGCTTGGCATGAGTTATGATGAAGAGACCTTTGCCTCAAAACAAACTGTGATGAGAGATCATGGGATCTTCTTACCTGCCCTGCTGAGTAAGAGCACTTTCAACTCCTGTGAGTGAAGTCCTGTTCTGAAGAAATCCACATCTTCTCTTCACAGAAATGCTGTGCTCCTGAAATTCTGCCTGCAGTGGCCAGTGGCAGGTGCTTTGGGATGGAAAGTCATGGATAGGAAGCAAGCCATGTCTAAATTTGTCCTGATGCAGAGTAGGAGCAGTGTTGGGGCAGGGTCTCTTTGATGTCCTGTTGCAGTGGGAGTCTTTGCGCTGACTTTCTTGTGCTTTGAACTGGATCCTTGGAGAGGGTCAGTTAAAAGTCTTTGTGCCAATGCCTGAACTCTGCGTGTATTTTCTTCCCTTAGGCAAATTCAGAATACGCACACGGGGCTGGATTTGTCAGTGCCAGAATACCAGGAAATCCGTGGGAAGATGATGTCTGGCCACGTGGAGTATCACATCGTCGTCGTCACACGACTGGCTGCCTTCAAATCAGCAAAGCACAAGGCTGAAGATGTAGTTCAGTTTATGGTAAGTATTTAATCAGAGCTGTGTTGGTGACCACTTTCTTAATCAGCTTTGATTATTTTTGTCCTGATGTAGCAGATACTTTATCATCAATCACAGCCTCTCTGGGTCAAGGTCCTTGGTAGCACAACACAATCTGTATTATTTCTGCAATAGGAGTATTCTACATGTATTAGTTGAACTCTTTATTCCAGGAGCTCAAAGCAATAATGACTGTTGTTACCTTAAAGGCATTTGGCATTATGGGTCAACAAATAGAAACCAATTAAGCTTTTTATAAGTCCTGCTACAAAATTGTCTTCTTCCAAGCTCTTGGACTTGGTACATAAACTTGAAATAAATATATAATAGCTTATTTGAATGGATATATTAGCCTTGGCATGGCTTTTAAAATCTTTAGTAAGAGAACTCATAAAATGTTATTGAGTTGGATTGTCTTTGTCGTTATACCTGCAGAGTACAGGTTTGAAAACAGAGTACATGACTTAAACCAGGTGAAATTAATCTCATCTATAACATATGCACATCCACTTAAGCTGTTTCACCTGGGACTGTCTATTAAGTTGATGGAAAAAGGTGCATTTAGGGTATGTTTTATTTGATCTTCTTTAGCGGCCTGCCAAACCGCTCCCAAGAAGTGCATTTCTCTGTCCATTAACTATAAAGGGACCCATTCTGCTCCATGCTGTGAACATGTGCTCTTTTCAGATGTTTTGGCAGTAACTGTAATGTCACAGTGATGTGAGTGTGTGGTTACCTGGTGGACCATTACCTGTAGTGTAACTCACACTCCATAGAAGATAGTTGATAAATGGTTATTTACACAGTATGATTTGCAGATAAACATCTGTCAGTGTTGTAAAGAGATGCATGATGAGGAGAGCTCATTCATTTATTCCACACCTTATGCTATATATAACTTTATGGTAAGAGCAGCAGTGTTGGCGTAAGAGTCTGTTCTGTTCTCCCTCCTGGTCCCTGACTGCTTGTTCTCACTCCCTCAGTGTTTCCTTTTGTGTGCCAGTGTCATGTGGCTGTTCCATAACGTCAGCTGAGGAACTGGTCCTGGCTAAAAATGGGTGTTTGGGGGGTTGTTATTCAGTACAGAGTTACACATATTTCTTGAGCCTGTGAGTTGCACAGCCCCATTAAAGTTTGTTTTAAGACAGGGGAAGGGCCAGACATGGGCAGATGGGAGAAGGGGATGTGCAGTTGCCTTTTTTTATGCAGCAATGCCTGTTTATGTTATGTAATATTCCCACACAGCTCTGTGCAAAAAAGGATCTGACTAATCCAGAGGTGTTAAACTGGGCTATTGTCATCTAAATTCATTTTGCTTAACTTAAGAATAAGTTGATAAAATCAGATTGTCTATAAAGAGGATAAACAAACTTTCTACTGTGGCCCCCCTGCTTGCTGGAATTGTCTGTTCCCATGTCTGCTCTCTCTAGGAGGATTTTTAGCACTCAAGTGAAATGAACCTTCCTGATTTTTCCTCTGGTTAGACCTCCTGATATTTCATTCTTCGTGAAGAAGAAAACTGGTGGAACCTGGCAGGAATAACATTTATCTCAGCAGTTACATTTTTTTCAGCTGACTGAATCTGATATATTATACAGTTTGTTTTGTGAGAGTAATTTAAAACCATGAGCTGGGAGGTTGGAGGATGGATGCTTTGCATCAATTCATTCCAATGAGTTTTATCTGTATGTATTACTGGAAGGAACAGGGAGATTCACCTGTCCTAACTTATCTCTCTAAGTTGGATATTTTAATCTGAGACTGTCCTTGCTTTTATGGTCAGTGGGGAGAAGGGGAATGAGGTGACTCATCCTCTGGAAATGTCTCTCTTCTTTGACCATAAAGGGAAAGCATCTACATTTTAGACAGCTGCAGCAGGGGGCTTCAACTCCAGGCTGAAATGCTTAAGGGTCAGTAGAGTTGCATATAAATCATGTGTGCAGTCAAAGCTGCCCTGGGATTTTCCACCTGAACTTCAGAAGGTTGTGGGTCTCCCATAGATCTTGTGTGTTATTTGCCTGCCCCACACAAGCCCCTTGGATGCCATAGGATGCCTGTCTCTAGGCAGAAAAATCCGCTCTCTATGATTAGGTGTCTGCATTTGGTGGATTTCTAAACTCCCATCCCAGTCAGGGCAGTGCTATTGGGAAGAATGTAACTGAGCATCTGTGGTGTGGAGGAACCCACTTTGCATAACATACACGGCTGGTACCATTTGAGAAACTCTAAATTATCTGAGGTATGTGCACAGGGCTGGCAGGTGTGACAGGGGGAATAAAGGCATTAGCACTGCCCTGGAACAGAGTGAGGTGAGGTACAGGGCATCATCCAGGGTAACACTAGCTGCCTGTATTCAGGTGAGTTGAATTTCAGTGACATATTGCCAAAATGTAGAGACTGTATCTGTCTGTCATGAGGGCTGGGGCACCTCCTACATGTAGGCAGTTTGCTTAAGCTGGAGACAAGTCTCAACCCTGTGCTTCCAGGAGAGGTGAGTTGCACCCACAGTGTCTGCAGTGATTATCTGCTCTGCTGGATGCTGTACCAGGACAAACAAGAACCACCACCCTTTCCCAGGGACTTGCAGGTGAAGTGTAAGAGAACCAGGGGGCTGGAGAACAGTAGAGAAGAATGAGGTTACATTGGGCAGCAGATCTAACATATCAAATTTATATCAGAAAGCAGAGTGAGATGAGACACCTGAAGGAGCAAAAAGAAACTACTGTGGGTGCGCTCTGGAGCAGGATGGGAGAGGTGACTTTTTTTTTTTTTTGCTTTTGTTGAAGCTGCTAAATATGAAAGGTTAGAGGAAGGAGCCTCACAGTGCTGAGGTGGCAGGTAGGTTAGAGACGACAGGCAGGCGTGGTAGGATTTTCACTGGCTCTGCATACATTAGTCCAATTTTGGTCACCTCGGGAGTCAGGTCTGTGTTTTGAGAGCTCCTCCTCCCCTTCTGCCTCCCCCTGAAGCATCAGGTGAGTGGATTTTCCCTGTCCGACCGTTCTCCCTTCCCTGTGGCAGTGCCGGCCTCGCTCCCTGTCCGGCGCCAGGTGGCAGCAGCGAGGGGCGGACCCGCGTTTGCTGCTCCAAGAGCGCTTCTGTTTTCCCTGGAAAATGATGGTGAGCAAGGCACAAGCGCCCTCTAAGCTAGCTGTGGTCTGTGGTATGCTGTTTGGGCCACACTGGATCGAATCGCTGAATCATTTAGGCTGTAAAAGGTCATCTTTTACATTTAGACATTTAGGCTGTCTAAGGTCATCGAGTCCAACCTTTGACCAATCACCACTTGGTCAGTAAGTGCCTCATCCAGTCATTTCTTGAACACCTCCAGGGATGGTGACTCCACCACCTCCCTGTGGGCAGTCTATTCCAATGTTTAACAACCCTTTTCATAAAGAAATTCCTTCTGATGTTCAACCTGGACCTCCTCTGGTGCGGCTTGAAGCTATGTCCCCTCATCCTGTCAAGATCGAGATATATTAAGGGCCTATGACCAAAACCAGATGAACATCAAATAGATATTCCAGATTTGACCTGTGGAGCCTTTACTAGACGTGTGGGTCTAAACAATCCAGAGTTCCCTGTTTTCCAGCCTTTATGTGACTATGGAAAATCAGTACCATAGCATTTCTAATGGAAACATTTGTGAAACATTAACAGAAGAAGAAATTAGCTTTTGTGATGACTTTACGATCTAAATTCTTAGAAACTGGAGAGATCTTTTAATTTTAAAGAATGCTAATTGTTAAATAGGGCAAATGAGTTGTAGAACTGCTTAACCTTGAGGTTATAATTGGTAATTGAAGGAAAAGTCAGCTGCATTTCTTTCAAAGGTCAGAATACTCTTGCCCCATCAAAAGAGGGAAATTTGTTTTCTCTTTGGTACTGCTGCCAGGGTGATATTTAATTACTGCCTATGGATCTGCAATTTTCTGTGAGAAGAAGAAAAGGTTTTGGTTTTTTTGCATACATTTCTTCTAGCCACATCTTACCTTTTTTAGCAATTAAATTCTGTCTTCCCAGCCTTATTAAATATCCACCTAGCCTTCAGTGCCTTCTCTTTCTATCTGCACCCAGTTTAATTGATGCTTTTTTACAAGTTACATTTGTTAGTCAAGTTCTTTCTTTTTCAAAGCTGAACAAATAACTACCGGTGTTTGACAGGCACAGCATAATTTAGGAAGGCATTTACTATAGAACTGTCTTCTTCTCATAAAATGAGGGAGTATAAATATGTGGGTGTGTATTCATTTATGTTTTCATCATTGCCTGTTTGCATATGTTGGCCTTCTCTTTGTGGGCCTCAAAATCTGTGCATTGGAGTTGCTCTTTCCTGACCATACAGGTGTGTTGTGAAGATAAATTCCTTCACTTTATAATCTCTGTGATGTGAGAGGGGTTGAAAAAAAAAATCAATGCTCAGCATAGTGATGGGTTCAGGAGCCATTAAGAATTCATGTTGATTAAAAAGAAATATTTGAGTGCTTGCTCTTCTGCTCGGCAAAACAGATGGGGAGAACAGCATGTGGTCATGTAATTAAAATCTACCGTAATGCATACCCATGGGGTCACCAAGCAACATTAATTCCGGTATGGCTTGAATTGGGAGTGTCCAAGTGAAAACTTGGGTTGTGCTGTCTGGGAGAAGGGACACTTTTGATCCCTGTACCCAAAGCTAGTGGTTGTTTTAAAGGATAGTGTTGCTGGATCTCCATTTTCTGACAGTGTTAAGAAGTGGGCTTTGTAAAAAGAATGTCACAATAGTCATGTTTTTCATGAAATACTGTAAAATCAAGAGTGCTCTTGGCTGGGTTGCATTGGCTGGCAAGGGGTTCGAGTTAGCTCTGAAATCTCCGTTTTGTTGAAACTTTTGCAGTAGATACAAAGCATATGAAGAAAAGCTTGAGGTCAGAAATGGGGCATTAAAAGGAGCTTTGAAGGGAAAGGGCGCATGAAATCCCATTAATACTGAGTGGGATCAAATTCTACGCACAACTGAGAGTCCTGGGCTCGTATCCTACAGGCGTTCCGGTGTGTGTACTTTCATGCATGAGGTTCTTGTGAAGAAGGGGGACAAGGCACATGCATGAGATTTGAGGGATTAGCAGCAAAATTCAGGCTTTCACTTTGAACTTCTTGGTGGTTTTCTTAACCTTCCAGCTATATTTGATCACATTCAACTTTATTTGTTCCTGGTGAAAAAAAAAAATATTCAGCCCATCGCTGTGTCTCTTAAGTTCTGTGTTGGATGTTAATTGTTACAGGCAAATAGGGTCTTGACCTGGCAAATAGGCACATGCTTTGCTGTATTTGCATGATTAACTCTTTTGAAGTGAAGTAGATTGAGCCTTTGATATTGTGACTTGACAGAACTCCTTGAAGTGTATACATTCAGGCTGACTTACAGGTGGTGGAGGTTTAGCTCCACAGTGTTCACAGAGTTCAGTTAGAGGCATGGAGGGGGGGAGGATAACTGCAGGATCATAACCTGGAGGATTTACAGGCAACAGAAGGAAAATATTTTAATATTAATCAAATGGGACTTTGTTTACTTAATTGGATTGATAAAATGGGGTTTAGAGCAATGTTTATTTTTATCCTGACATTTTGGGCCATATGATCCATCAACTATTTTCAAAGGGTTGTGAGTGATAACCAGAAAAGGCAAGATTTGATTTTGTTTACGTGTTGATATGCCTTTCTCCTGTAAAACTGGCAGAGGATGTCAAATTCAAAGGGTACAAAATTGTCACAGCAGAGCAGTGGTGCCTGACTGGAAAGGTGTGAGAATGCTCTGGGTGATGTGTGGGACTTGACCTGAGAAAATACACCCCATGGAACTTGGCCAGCACTTCAGAAGGCCCCTGCATTGCCTCTGTGCTGCTGCATCTGGGCATGGGGTCCTGAGGACAGGAAAGACCTGTTGGATCAGATCCAGAGGATGGTATGAAAGTGGTTGTAGGGCTGGGACACCTCTCTTGTGGACAGAGGCTGAGAGAGCTGGAATTGTTCAGCCTGGAGAAGAGAAGGTTCTGGGGACACCTTAGAGCCCCTTCCAGTACCTAAGGGGGCTACAAGAGAGCTGGAGAGGGACTTCTGCAAGGGCTTGGAGTGATAGGACAAGGGGGAATGAACTTAAGCTGAAGGAGGGAAGGTTTAGATTAGATAAAAGGAAAAAAATCTTTACTGTGAAGGTGGTGAGGCACTGGCACAGGTTGCCCAGAGAAGCTGTGAATGCCCCATTTTTGGAAGTGTTCAAGGCCAGGCTGGATGGGGCTCTGAGCAACCTGGTCTAGTGGAAGGTGTCCCTGCCCATGGAACAAGATGATCTTTAGGACCCAAATTATTCTGTGATTCTAAATGCATCAGTCTGAGGTTGTTGGGCTCAGCCAGCCTTACTGCTGCATTTCCAGCACCAAACCCAAGGAAAAGCTGACAGCAGTGCTGAGCAAAGGTGTTGAGGAGCCAGTGGCTGCCGCAGTTTGAGGCACAGGAGCAGCGGGCAAGGAGCCTCAGCTGGCAGGGCTTGCAGGGGCCAGCACTGGACTTAGGTAAGTGGGGAATGGTTTCGGCTGGAGTTTTGACATCTCATTGGTACTGTGGGTTATTCCAGCAGAGGGCATCCCGGCACTGCCGGATATTGGCCTGCATGGTGTGGTGCAGGCTTTGGGGAAGCACATTAGTATGCTTTGGATATAGTGCTGTCACACTTGGTATGCTGTATCCTGTGTACGGTTGCTGGTGTTGTTCAAAGCCCACGCAGACCCACAAAGGCTCAATTAGGGTGTGCATTTGCTTTAGGTTCAGTGGTGTAATTAGACATAAATTGAGATTTATGAATAATTTACAGAGTTTAATAGAGAAGGAATGAAAATTAAGTGGGGAAAGAAATAAGTTTGTGTATCTCAGCTTAGTGCTAAGAGTATTTTAAAACTTTTGTCATAATCTTGATTGGCTGCTGTCTTGTAATACTTTCAGACATTAATTTGGTATTTATTATTGAAATTAATTAGACGTTAAATGTTTTTCACAAATCTGACTCAATTTTTTTTCCTGGGTGGAGGGTAATAGTGTTTATTCTTCTGAAAAAGTACTAGTAAATTCCTCACTGCCCTTACATTTGTGCTTATGTAGTATTGTTGGGAGAGGCTCTGCTGTCATACCCTCTTCAGAGTGCTACTGGGACCTAGCAAACTACAGCAGTTCAGAATTCTGGAATTGCTTTCCTCACTCTTTTTGGGGTATCTTTTGAAAGGAGGATTGCTGTATTCTGGAACATCCTCTATTGCCCTCACTTTAGTGCTTGGCTGGTGAATTGTGTTTCAGATCCTGCATGTGGACCACAGTGGTACTGACACCTTCACTGCTTTCAGGAGACAAGTCTAAAATACTTGTTTTTCATTCTCCTGAGGGCTCGAGTTGGGTTTTCTCCTTCAAGTCTTTGTTACAGGGCTGCCTGCCTTTGGTGGCTGGACACTGAACCCACAGTGAACATTGTACAGCTGAAACACAAACGCTTTTCAAATCAGCCAGCTTGGTTGATAATTACTGTGAAAGGCAGGGAAGTGTGAAAGCTGAGGTGGTTATTGCTCTTTATGCATAAATCTGATTTAGTAAACTAATCGAGGTGTGTCTGGTAATGTCAGGGCCTGTTCTCTGGCCTGGAGGGCAGCTCTCACAGTCTGGCTCATCTGTGTTATGAAACTCTGACCCATCTGCAGGGGGTGTCAGTACCCAAACTGGCTCCTGTGGAGTCCCTGCACCAGGCCAAACCTCGGGCTGACAAGTTATCTGGGGGAGTGCTACCTTTAAACTATTCCAGGCGTCGTCAGGTTCCCGTAGACACTATTAAGGTTTCTAGGAGACACTCTCAGGTTCCAGTGCCTGAGAATATGCCTGCTCCTATTTAGTTTGCTGGCATAGATGCAGTTTAGGGATTCTGCATTAATCTATAATTAATTTCCCTTCTACTTTTGTGCTTTTTGTTAGGTTGACTTTCTTTTATCACTTTCTTTTATCATCTGGTGGAAGAACTCTGCCTTCTGCCATCCCAAAATGTGGTGCTTGAGTCTCTTTATATCCATCTCAGTATATGCAATACTGCACACATTGCAGTATTAATGAGGATTCACTTCACTAGAGTTCACCAACGTGTTACAGGAGAGTAAGAGCTGGGCCCTAGTAGAGGACCTGGGCTGTATGCACTCTACTAGCACTAGGTTTTTGGATTGTTTATTTTCATCTCTGTATTCATTAAAACACATTCATAGATTATGGGAGCACAGAAGGCCTTGATGAATATATTATTTGTGTAATACCACACAGCATGAGTCAGTCTCCTTTGCATCTGTAACATCACTTAAAGATAGTGTTTTGTTCGTGTGTGAGTTTTGTGTATTGTTTTTTTAATGTACTGAATTTAAAACCTAATGTGACATAGTAGCCACACCTTTTCTAACCCAACATTCCCATAGCTGTTGCTTTCCTTGTAGTATCTTGAGCCTTATTTCTCCTCAGGCTTCCTGTCTTTGTGTGCAGGAGGAATGACTCCATTCACTGTTGGCATCTTCTCCTTGTATGAGAACCTGTAGGCTGTGGCCAAGTTGTTGGGTTTTATTTTCTCATGGATAAACTGAGTAGTCAGGGATCAGCTGAGGTCTTTGCCCTTAGGTTTCTGTGTTATGCGCTCTGCAGGGCAGCAAATATGCCAGTTTTTTAGGCCTAAACAGCCAAAGGGCACTGTAGCCACAAGGAATGAGAAATGGGACGTCTGGCTTAATGGTGGAAAGGTTCAGGTAGCTTTCTCCATCACATACTTTCCTGGCAGGGCTTTTCTTCCTATCTCTCTCTTTTAGTGGACAAGGATTTCTGCTGTCAGAAGAGTATCTGGAGCAGTGACCCCCCCAGTATTTCACTGATAAGTGAGACAAATGGATGCTAGGTATCTGGCAATGAACTCCCATTCCATTAGGCAGTAGATTTTAATAACAGAACTAGAAGACCAGCAACAATGCTTGGGGATTCACTGGGTACATAACAGGCTTTGACTGGGCTGTATGGAAAGCTCCTTGCTGATACATGTTTTTCCACTTCAGTTTCCATGGTTAATGTTTCACAGCACTTAAACTGCTGCTTTGCTGCTTCTGTCTCCCCTGTAAAGAAACATACCCAGGCAGCACATTTCATTGCAGGTTTCCAAGAAGTACAGCGAGATAGAGGAGCTCTACCAGAGGCTGACAGCACGATATCCACAGGCTTCTCTTCCACTCTTGCCTAGAAAAGTTCTCTTCGTGGGGGAATCTGACATCTGTGAACGAAGAGCTATGTTCAATGATATCATGAAATCCATCTCGAAAGACGCGGATCTAGCAACGAGTCCTGAGTTACTGGAGTTTTTAGGTAACTAAAAGATGTGAGTGTCCCCTCTCCCATGAATGTGCTTGATGAAGGCATTTGTCTCAGGTAGTCAAAAACTAGAGAATGCCAGAATAGAGGCTATCATGGAAAATATCCTCATGTGCATCATTTACAGTGCTGCATAGTTGTCTTTGCCAGTGTTTTCCCCTCCTCTGTTTGGACACATGCCTCATTCTGAGGTGTTGATAAATACCTTCAAAGCAAGCACTGTGCTGTCCTGTCTCTGATTTCCTGCTGTGAATCCGAACATGTAACTCTAGAAGGCTAAATAATCATATATTGTCAGTGGAGAGATGGACACTAAAGGGACAGGTCTCCCTTAGTGAGCAACTCTTTCATGTTTTTTCTGTTTTTCGTGCAAATTATTGACTCTGAGAAAGATTTAAATAAAAGACAGATTCTTTATTAGCTAAACACATTCTGTGACCCTCTGTTGTTTTGGGTTTTTTTGTCTTGTTACCTTTTCCAGTGATTCATATAATTTCTTTCTTATGTCCCTTGGGGATAGAAGGGAGTCACAGAATGAATGGAACATATGGGCTCTCTGCTTCTAATTCAGCTGAAAGCTGCTGAGCAGGGAATACTCCAGCCCAGTCCTGTGCAGGATTCTTTAAGGAAGTGAAATTGCAAGGTGCTAACAAGTGTGAACAGCCCATTTTGCAAAAGTGTCAGGTGTGACCTCATTAGAAGTTCTGTGAAACTGGTAGCTTCCTAAAGTCAAGGGGGGCAAAGCTGTGTAATACTGGGTAAAATCCTTTTGCTAATAAGGTTTTGGTGTGGTTTTTGTTTGGGTTTGGTTATTTTCCTCTGGCAGTGTTCTTTTGAAAGTAGACCCCTTGCACAGAGAATTCGGACTTCATGTTGATTGATCTTGGCAATGCTGATTAACCTAACTGTGGTGCACATGTCTACAGGTAAACTGGGCTGGACTGTCTTTATATCTGGAGAGACTGGGTGCAGGTAATGTGACCCATTCATCAAACTCTGCCTTAGAATAGTCTAAGTGCCACCCTACCAAAGCAGGTGGAATTCAGTACTTACACTGCAGATCCTCAGGCTACTTGTGTACGCTTTTCTGGAGACTTGTTTGACATAGTCAGGGATATTTAGGGAAAATCAACATGGTAAAACACTTAACTGTGGGGATAAGATAAGCAGCATCCTAACATTCACTGCCTACCCTGCCCAGTGCTCTCTTGCCTATAAGGGGAGCATAAGACCACATGATGAGCGTGGACACCCACACTGAGTCAGTGAAGTCTGCCCTGGGTGATTTGGCAGATGCAGACATGAAAAGCTGGGTGAGATGAATTTCCCATGCCATGTTAGTTGGAAACTTAAAAGGATGAAACCATTAACTTTATCCATCATAGTTTTCACTAGCCTTTTTTTTACCTAGTCTCATTATTTTAAATTACTTCCTGGACATCCAGAGACTTGACAGCAAGGAACAGTTTTCTCCTCATTCTCCTGGGCTCTGCATATGACAAGTATGGTGAGAAGACTTAGTTTCATGTTTCAGTTGCATGAATTTGCTCAGTTGGATGGATCTTGCATTCTGAAGGGTGTTAGAACTTCAGGCGTCATTTTTGAGTGTAAATTGAAGAGCTGCTGTGGAAACTTTTTCATGCTGTCCACTACTCTAATTTTAGCCCAAAAGAATTAAATAAATGTCAAAAAGTGGATTTCATCTCAACTAGCTATGTGGAAGTTGGTTATCTGCATCTAAGCAGAGTATTTACAGCCCCTGTGTAGCCAGTGGAGAGAAAAAGGCACTTTAGAGAGAAACTTCTCGTAAGACTTTATTTGGATGGGATGAATAACCACATGGAGAATCTATTGTTTGTGTTGGATATAGAGGGAACATAAATAAGCAGATTTGACATGCACTGCTGTGTCTTAGATAAAGGTTCATTTCCTCTGTCTTTATCTACTTAACTACTTTAAATCAGTAAACAGGTCGGACACATGACATACAGTGGATAAAGGGAACAGTGGGAATGTTGAAAGAGTTTCACAAAAGCTGATCATGTCCTTCATTCCTCAAACAAAACCATCAAGAGCAGGTGCAAGGTATTAAATAAACTAGTTGTTATCCTGTGTACTCAGTTTTGCATCTGTTATTATGTCTTGCAGGAACAAAATCTTCCAGTGCCATTGACTTCAAGGGTAAAAACGTGCCTGATGACAAGGATAAAGAAGATGAAGAAAATGAGGTGATGGATTTTTTCAAAGAGGAGAAGACACCTGACTTAATCTCGCAGCTTTTATCAGTGCAGAATGTCAAAAAGGGGGAAGAAAAGGAAGAGGAAGAGGAGGAAGAAGAAGTTCTAGACCCCCTTGGTATAATCAGGTATGGCTGCTAGTGCCTTTTTTATTTAGATTTTAGCCTAGTTTTCTAAGTTAGGCTGTTCTGTGTCACTGTCCCCTGATCCCAACATTTTATCACATTGACCACTTTCAGCTGAATTTCACAGAGGAGGAGAGGCCTCTGCAGTTCGCAAAGGAAGTGCCTTGGTAGAGGGAAGAGACTTTGTAATTGTTCTTCAGTGCATTCTTCAGGAAATCCAAGTGACTGGGACATTCTGAATGCCTTGATTACAATCCCAACTACAGGAGACACTTTACTGGGCACTGCAGGGCTCTACCACAAAGCATCAGTGCATCAGCATCCAGTGGATGTGCTGTTCTGGAGTACACCGGTGTTTACAGTGTCTGAAACTGCTTTTGAGCTCAGTTGTGTCTACAAGGAGGTAAAGTTAGAGCATCTTAAAGACCAAAAGACCTAACATTTCAGTAATAATATTCACAAATAGGCATTTCTTTCTTTATTCCCTTGTCTGAAGGTGTCACATTCTTAATGCCACTAAGGCATAAGCAATAACAGCTTAAGAAACAGTAATTGAATCAAAGCTTCTTGATATTAGTATCCGTGTTGGTTTACCTGTGCAGTAATTTTCAGACAGTTATTTTCTTCACTTCAAGATGGATTTTCTCACTGAATTCCTAAACCATTTCTATTGAAGCCTGGAAGCAAATTTAGTTTCTCGGCGGCTGGGATCATGAGTACTGACAACTTTTTTTAGGGTGCCTCAGGCTTTAGATATCCAAGTAGAGAAGGCTTAGCTGTTCTTGATCTTCAGTAAGCACTGACTGACTCAACTGAACTGTTTCAGCCACGAGCCACTACTGAATGTTCTTTGTCTTGGATCTAGACAGCGCTGTCAAAGTGCTTCTTCAAAGCAATAGGCAGTAACTGATGGTAACAAGCCAGAGCCCACTCTTGGTGTTTCCCAATTACATTGAATCATTTCCAGGAGATCATTCACTCTAGGCTCTAAGCCTTTTTACTTGAAGTATTTAGTAATTTACCTATCACCAGAAAACTTCTAATATTATTCTTTTGACAAAATGTGCTTAATTACTCAGCATCAAAATCATTCTTTTGTTGAAGAAGAGTTTAAAAATTTAAATAACTATTTACAGGGAGAAGTTAGATAAAGCAGTACTTCCCATAAAATGGTCCTTAGTTGGTAAGTTTACAAAAGAAGCTGTCCTTTTTTGGATAGGAAAATGATCTATTGGTTTAGCAAATGCAATGTTGTATTTTCCAACTTAAAACAAGTAGAAGCTATAAAGAACTTGCTATGCCAAAACAAGCAAGAAGTTTGCTTTTCTGCTCTGAACAGTTTGACATACTATTTGAAAATCTTGATTATTTTGGTCTTTTAATGCACTGAAGGATGACAAGATCTGGTATTTAATCCTCATTTAGTTTATTGCTTCCATTCCTTTTGAGAACAGAGTTCTTACTGAATCAAAATAACTTAATTTGTATAAGAAGTATGATCTTCACTGGGACAGAGCTGCAGCATGACATGTTCTGCAGTGAGATGTTTTTTACTCTGAATCACTGGTTGGCTATCTAGAAAAGAAATCTGCATATGTATTTATTATTATTTTTGTAAATCTCACATGTACAGTGTTGAGGCAGAAACGTGAAAGTGGAAATGAGAATCCTGGATCTGATCTTACATTATCTCTATTCTCATGTAGCTCACCCTGCTTCCATGGAAGTTATTTTCAGCTGACATCAATGGAGATCGGACTGTACATAAGCACTGTGTCCCAGCTCTGTGCCATCTAGCAGTAGGTGTCTAGGTAAGAGGCCAAAGGCAGGAGCTTAGTTGTCAGGGGATGGGCAGTTCTTGGAGGACCATTTTAGGCTGTGTTCTATGCCTGTTAAAGTGTTATGTGCTTACATGCTTTGAAGAGGGAGCTGCAGGCCTCACAGCTTGAGTGCTTCAGATGTGCTTGAAGTTACTTTGGGATAGAAATGAATAAAACAGGAGATGACACAGATTAATGTGTTTAGTAGTAAACTGCTCTCTAATGCCTATTAAATTCAGGATAAAAAGGAAAAAAAAAATCCATGGGCCTTTTCTCTCTGAAAACCTTTGAAAAGATGTAAAGTCAGCACTGAAACAAGCCAGTCCATCCCATACAGTATTGGTGGCCAGAGTGCTGTGAGCAGCAGAGCTCAGACCTAAATTGAATCATGTGTTTGGCATAATCTTATAGGTTTTTTGCTTTCTGGATGAGGATGAAACTGCTCCAGTAGCACAGGCTTCCATATGTTGTCAGCACGCTTCATTTGATAACAACTTCTCCTCCTGGGCCAGAAGGCTGTGACTTGGATTTAGCCCAGCGCTGCTGCTGTGCTGCTGAACCACCTGATATCCAGTTAAATATACTGGCCTTAGGGGTAAAATGCTAAGTTAGGGCCTTTATTTTCTGTTTTTGTATTGCTGGTGATCATCCAGGTGGAAGCTCATAATGGCCTGGTTCCTTTTGCCTGGAGGAGACATCCCAGTTGTGCTGATGCTCTGCCTCGCATTCAGGGCTGTCTGAGTTGCTCTTTGATGTCAGGTGGGCAACTCACTTGCCAATTCAGCTCTTCAGCTTTTGTGGGTATTAATGATGATCTACAAACTTTGTGTTTCTTTGCTCTATGATTCTCATTCCTCAAAGCTTTCTTTCTGTGTTAGCAAGGGGATCTTGGGATTCTTCACAACAGAAAGACTGGATTTTTTCTTGTCCAAATCAGGAACATATCAAAAACCATAATACATGCTTGTGGTTAAGTTTTCAGCTTTTAACACCCCTTCTCCTTAATATTTTTTATCCCAGGCCTAGTTCTTCTTAGAATAAAGGTTGCTCAAAATTATGTTACATTTGTGGGGTTCAGTGTTGAAAATCATTTGAAATATGTTTTCTCTTCTTCATCCTCTGACTTTCTTGATAGTTTGGAGTATTATCATTCCAATGTATTGTCGCCAGTTACTCTGCAAGTTCTCCTGGACCTTTGTAGAAAAGATCGGCTCTCATAGCAAACTTTTTTTTTTTAAAGTGACTATCTTTTTTTTTTTCATTTTATTTTCTGGTAAATCACAAACATTATAATATTTCTGTTAAAATGTTCTAATTCTTTTTACAAGTAGGAAATCATATATATATATAACTCCATATTGTAGGGACAATGTTAGGTATAGTGACTTATCTTTTTCACCACTCTTTATCGCTCTTCTTTAAATCCATCTATCTCAACATTTGCATATACATATTTTTAAGTCCTTGGTAGGCTACCATGCTGCTTGGGCAATATATCTGGATTTTTAGAGGTACACTGTCTTTTAACACTGCTGTGTTTTAAAAGATTTTCCTCATAAATTGCAAAGTAGTACTGCGAGTCTAGTCACAACTGCCCGGGGTTCTCCAACTGGAATGCCTTTAGGGATGAATGAAGCAAGAGCACTAGATCTGAAAGAGGCTAATGCTCTGAAGGGCAAGGCAAGTTGGATGAGCTGTTCACCTGCAGCCAGTGTGGTCTTGATGGTACTGCTGAAAATTCTGCAGTGGGAATAGGCATAATTTGCCAGTGGTTTGAGGGGAGATTGGCAGGAAGTGAGGATTGCTGTGTGAAGCAGGAATCCAGAGCAGCACCAATGCTAAGTCAGCTCAGCTGTGCCAGGGTGCCCTGGCTGAGCCTGACTGAGCAGTGTCTGGCTGTGTCTATACCATTACATTCTCCTGTCCTCCAAATGTGGATTGCTACATCCAGAATGCCCCACTGGAAATGGCTGCTGGCCTGTGCTCCCTCCTGGGCTGTGATTAGGATAGCTTAGGAGAAGACAGGTTGTCCCATACCAGGGTGGGTACCAAGAACTGAACAGCTGAACTCTTGAACTGAGCTCCTGTGCTCAGGCCTGGGGTGTGAAGGAATTACTAGAAAAGACTGTATGGCCCTGAGCTCCTCTGCCCACAGAGCTTTCTGCCTGCCACTGTGTTTGCCATAGCCTGCCCTCAAGGTTCCCTAAAGTTTTGCTTTATGTAGGGAATTCAGGCATCCAGCTGTGGATTTTTTTACTTGATCCAAGCAGGATCAAGTTAGCATTTCTGGTCTGAATCTTAAAGTAATTTAAAAAACACATCACAGCAACTGAATTTGGTTTTGTCTTCTTCCACTGTGGATGAAATACAGAGTTTTATTGTTTATAGGTTGAAGCCAAGAGCTTTAGCTTTAGCTTTATCTCTCTCCTCTCACTGTGTAGTTAAAACAACTCACCTTAGTATTTGTATTCAGTTTACTCCAATAAACCTCAGACAGCAGCTGATTAAAATGGCTGTGAACCAGCTCCTCTGGACAAAGCAGCAACAATTTTGCAGAAGGACTGTGACTGCCTCATGGGTTAAAACATGCAGCAGCCCTTTCAGTGCATGCATTTCTTCAGCTGCAATTAACTTCTGAGGTAATATTTGTTCACCATTTTGGGAGAACCCACCTTTTCCGGTGCTTTCCTTTCTTGTCTTCTTCAGCCCTCCAGAGCCCTTGCAGGAACCTCTTCTCCCCACATGGTTCCTCCCTTCCGTCCTTTTTCCTTTGCCTCTCTAAATCTTCCAGTGACAGCATATATTTCCTGAGCCTTAGGTTTTTCCTGGCAGACTGCACAGGGTCCAAAGGTGGGTATTCCCCAGGCAAGAGTTTTTCTGTCTCCTCATGAGTCTTGGGGAGTTTCTGTCTCGACTCTCTGCCTTTGCTATTGTTCAGAGGATTTCCCCTCATGGCTTCTCCCATCCAAATTTGTGCCTTTCCTGAGGAATACAGACAGACACGTGGGTGGGTTGAAACTTTGCATCTGTTGTGTTTAAATGCAGATACAGCGAAGTCCTGACAATAGTTAGGAAAGGATGGGGCTGGTGAGGGCTGACCTTTTGGGGGCCTTCTGCCAAAGGTTTTTAAAAGCCTTGTAGCTGGGGTCAAGCTCAAGCACCTCCAGTGCCAGAGGTTTCCCG